AAAAACCCACTTGCCTATTTTGAACCACTTTTCTTCAGAGCATATGTCTCACTGTGCAACCAAAAGGGTGTTTATATCCTAGTCACTTGGCAAAAATTCTGTCATTGCTTCAGAGAGATCCATTTTAAGCCTGAAGCATGGAGCTGGGAAATAGATGGGCTTTGGTTGTCTGAAGAAATGACCCTCAGTGCAAATTTAGACAGTTACTTTTTCTTTTCCCCATAATATTGTTGCTGGATGGAACTACATTTTTTAAAGTAGAAGATAAGTAGAGTCCTAAATCAGTTTGGTTATTCTCACTCATTTGAAATGAGAAGATTTGTTTCTATTCAATGAGATGAGAAAAATTGGGAACTTTTCATATTTCCATTGGCCACTGAATTATTTCCATTGAAACATATTTCCTCATGTACTTGAGACAGTTTCCAAACAATTGCTCTTTAAAAGTCTATCTGATACTCAATGGGAAGAAGGCAGATACAAAATTATATTTATAGGACACATTTTTAGAAGATGTATTTAGGGAAGATGACTGGTAGAGTGTATGTCAACATGTTGATTGATCATTATCTTTGGTTAAGATTGTAATTATTTCTACCTTCTTTATAGTTTTGGTATTTTTCCATTCTCAGACTTATTTTCAATGCAGGTTTCTTAAATGCCTAAAAGAGAATTTCCCTTTAACAATATTAAAATAGACATAATGTCCATTGGTACCATCAAGGCATTTCCCCTTTTCCTTCACCTTGTAAACCACACATGAAGATGCTCACAGGAGTGCCTCTCAAATAGGCCAGGATTTGCATTCATCAATAAATCATTTGTAATTAGAAGTCTTTTCTATCCAAAACAAATATATATCTTTCAAGAGTATTTCTCTTTTGTGAATGATGTTTGACATCTTAGAAGCTAGGACTAAACCTTTATTATGTGCATTGCTATAGTTAAAGCATTATTTTGTAGGGTAAGCTCAAGGTTACATGCTTAAGAAAAGCTCACGTTAATCCCATTAGGAAAATCATTTTATTCATAAATCTTTGGCTGTTGAAAAGACCATTGGGAGCCAATACTGTTTGTATAGCTGGATAGAATTTAGTATATTTGACAATTAGCAATACAAAAAAAATGGTCTTCATTTGCACTGTGCTATCTATTTAAAAATGAACAAGACTTTCACAGAGAACTATGTCAGTTCACCTCAGCATGAGGCTTTTGGGTAGTTATATCAAATTTTTGGATGCCAAAATGTAGTCTGGTAGAGATAAACTGATTTGCCCAAGGTCATTCATCTGGCAGAGGTGGATTATTTTCTGTTCCCCAGCTCCAAAATCCTGTATACTTTGTCCTGCAACATTGCCCCTCCAGCAAGGCACCCTTGCTGACTCCAATGATGTCGGGTAGTGGTTCTAGCTAGGAGTTAGCTATTGTTGACTTTAAATATGAAATCTTTTTTTTTTCCTATGAAGCAATGACGTTTAGTTTTTAGGATGATAAACCTTTCTCCCTTTTTTCTTCTTTCTCCTCGTTTCTCCTAAATACTGTTCCATATATATTGCTGCCAGAAACAGATTATTGGCATTCATGTTATGTTTTTCCATACCTTTTAATCATTTCTACAGCTGTTCGCATGACAACAATTATATTTCCACTTTTAAAAAATTGTTACAAAGATGCACAGAGAAAAGAGAAGAGCAAAGGAATAAACTACAAGCAATTATGTAAGTGATACTTTTGTGATCTGACATTTTGGGAAATGTTACTGTTACTGCAACTACCTTTTATTATCTAGGTTTTAACCTTTTAGTGGATGACATGCCTTAATCTTTATCATAGCTTAATGATAGGGCATTTATTTTTCTAATTTTTACACCATCCAAATTTCTTTTATTTTTCTAAAGATTTCATTCATTCATTCATTCATTCAAAATTGAGAGTGAGCATTAGCCAGGGGAGGGGCAGAGGGAGAAGGGGAAGTAACAGCAGGCACTCTACTGAGTAGGGAGCCCAAGGCCCCACATGGAGCTTGACATGGGGCTTAATACTAGGACCCTGTGGTCATGACCTGAGGTGAAGCCAGACACTTAACCAACTGAGCCTCCCAGACACCCCTATACTATTTAAATGTCTTAACCGCAGGAAGAATGCTTACTCTGTGCCAGGTTACATGATGGCACCTACAAATAGATCTGTACCATTTACCAATATGTCCTTTTACAAAACTGATATCAACTTTACTGAGAAGTAAATTGACACTGTACCAAATGAGCTGGTGGGCTTAAATGTGTAGATTGTACTCACTGTTCTTACCAATTTATCAGGATTTGATGACCTACCTAGTGACTTTATTTGTGGATTATTTATATTACCTTGTCATTCAGAGATTTAAGTTTCAAATTTTAAAAATCTCATCTCATGGAGATATGAATGTTTCTTTCTCATCACTTAATAAGAAATCCTCTATTCTGTTGCCCCTTCTTCCTCCCCACCTTTGCACCTACCAGTATTTGCAAGCTGACTGGCTTGACATGTCCATGACACTACTCAGAGAGCCTCATCTTATAAATACCAAGCTCATTTTCCTAGAGGTTTTGAACAAGATAGAATATGACCTTTCTTCATGTGGTGCATTTAGATTAGTGATTTTGGAAAGTGTCATGTGACTATCGTATCACACAGACATGGAAGTCCCTCAAAGATCATGTTTTCGGGTAGAAACACCCAAACATCTAAACTTTTAACATAATGAACTTATTAAAAATTTAAAACTTGGTTAATAATAAATTTGAGATGTGTAAGATTTTGCTTAAGGTGTGTTTTTGTTTTACTCTTGCTTTGCTTTCCAAAATGCATCTGCTTTATCTTTATATTATATGAGGATCCTAGCATGATAGAATGCGCCTGAGAGAATAGCGTAGGTGAGCTTACTTGAACAAAATTTAGTGTGGGCACGTTTGTGTATTTAGTTTATACACTTTACAAATTCTTACTGTATAATTCTTATGAATTTGGCTATCAAATTACATTTTCTTTTGTTAACTCTGTAAATTAGAAATGTACTCATTTATTTAGCAAAGTAGAGGGAAAGAAAATGGCAGAAGTTTAAACCAGAATGTTTAAACCAGAATGATCTGATAATCTAAAACAATGTCCTTTTTCTTCTCCTCAGTGTTTCCTCCTCAAAGTCCAGTTTACTCTTTGAAGTCTATTCCAACAGACACCATGTCATAGTGAACCATGGTTTTAATATACTTTGAAAACTGGTACATCTGTTCTGTAAATCAGTATACCAATTTTAGCCTCTTTACAAAGTACAAAGGAGACTTTACTAACCAGAGAAATCTAGAACTTAGTAATTCAAATACCATTCAAAACACGTATTTATCTAATAACAGGAACTAAATGTTAGGCCTCATGGCAGCTAGCTCAACAACTAAACAAGTGTTAATAATAGGATAAGCCCACTGTATCCAGAGCAAAGAGAAGCATACCACGTTTACATATCCAAATCACTTACCTTCTATGCTCTGATTTTAGCCCTCTGGACTCATGACTGTTGCAGCAAGTGGTTGTTTTCGGTGCCTTCAACCTCCATAGTATACTGTATATTGTATATATTGCTTTTAGCAGCTACTACAAGTACCAAGTACCAGGCTAAATTCTCTACATGCAGTGGTTAGTTAATCATTGGGATAATCTTATGATTGTTTTTTTTTAAATCTCATTTTGCAGATGAGGAACCCAGGATAAATAGATTGCCCAAGACCTCCCAGAGCCCTGCCAGAATGTGTTGAACAGGGATTTCAACCTGTCTAGTCAGACTCTAGATGCAGTGCTCTTTAACTGTTATGCAACTTGTCTCTTCCAGGCATGCATCGCATGAGCCTCATAGCCAACTTTATGAGATATGTAGTATGGATAGAATTACTACTATTTTACAGATGGCAAAACTGAGATCCAGAGATTTCTAGTGACCATGAGCAGTGTCACTGGCCTATAAACTCTATACCAGGTAGTCTTCTCTCCTATAGCACCGCAACTCCTCAGATTTCTTCTTCTGACACTGGCAAGGGTGTGTTCTATATATTGATATTTCTAGTTTGGAATGAAACATTCTGTGGGTCTTCATCTTGATCAGTAACCCATCTACACTGCACCCTACTGCAGTAGGGATGGCCTACCTCTAAACATGGCATCTGTTTGTTCCCACCTCACTCCCAGAACTATAACAGGTAGAGCTGGCTAGATATAACAGGGGTGCTTTGTCTTGGTCACCGACCACTACCTTCCCCCTTCTCTGGCTTTTATTTGACAGGGACATTCCTTCCCCTTTTTTAGTTCATTACTGTCCTTATACCATAAATACTTCCCCACCGTAAAAATAGAAAAGAAGCTGTGAGTCATTTACACGTTAGCATAAATGTGCCTTCATGATTTCATCAAGGCTGCTGGTGCCTAACTCTTTAACTGCAGAATGAAAGTCTCTGGACTATCCTGGTTTCCTTCCTGAGAAGGATCAACTGGGAGTTGGTCTAGACATCAGGACCACCACAGACTTATTACCCAGAGATACATGGACTGCATAATTGTTGCAGATCAGCACCTAGGGCAGCTTTTTCAAACCAATGGGACTCTTAGCTCCTGCTCTCTCTTCCCCTCTCTGCTGCGCCAGGTAGACTCTTGCCCTCACCCTCTTCCAACTTGTCAGGAATCCAGAGAACATACTCCATTCTATTAATGATCACATATTCTTTTCTCTTCCTGGGGTCCATAGCATGATGAGTGCTGCCCTCAGGAGCAGCACAAGCTTTTAGCATAGCTCTTCAGCAGATGGCTGTATACGGGAAGGCTGGATGTGATTGGGTGTGTGTGTGTGTGTGTGTGTGTGTGTGTGTGTGTGTGTGTGTGTGTGTGTATAGAGTAGGAAAGCCCGTAGAGGAAGGGAATGCATCTGACTTGCAGCCCCATCACTGGAGCACTCTCTTACTTTGTGTTCCCCCCAGAAGCAGACCTGGAGATAAGGATTCAGGTGCAAGTGGTATATATGCAAGATGACTCCATGAAGCACTGGTGAGAGAGTGGAGAAGTGAAGCAAGGAAAGAAAGACGATCAGAGGGGCATTCATGAGTCATTTAGCACCGTGGACAGCCCATTGGGGAACTCTGGGAGTGCCTCAGCATTACTGCCCCCTTCCCTGAGGTCTAAGAGGTAAGAATCTTCTACAGATTCCCTTTAGTCACTGGTGAGAGCTGCTGGGTAGCAGTTGTTATTTCCCAACAATTCTCACGTACCCCTTTGGGTCATAGAGTCTTTCTTTAGTTTCTTTGTCTCATAAAGGCAGAGATCCAGCCATTAAAATGGGAATACATGGACATGTAGCTGTGAGCAGAATACCCATATGCTTCTGCTTCACGTGTTTTAGGAGGTCGAAGGAGTGCAGAGAGCCTTACCTACCAAGCCTTACCTACCTAAAAACCCCGTCTTTAACAAGGGTTTCTGTGTCTCTGCACTGAAGATTAAATTATTCATTTCTGAAAAGCCGTTCATCACTGGTAGTTATATTAAGTACAGAGAATTAGCAACAAAGAAAGGGGGAAAATGCCAAGCAGTTGGTTTGGTTGAACACAAGTAAAGACTCTTATAGTCATTGGCTTAGACAGCTTATTATTAATGGCTATTCCAATGCTGCATAATAATAATTATGCATGTCATTAAATATGTGTCTGATTAACTTTGTCATAAAATTTATGACAATATTAAGCTTTATTCGCATGCTCAACCTTCATAATTTATTGCTTATATATCACAGTTATGACTTTAAAAAATCTCCAAGACACTGTTGGTTTGATGACTACTTTCTTATCCATGAGTCTAGTTTATCCATTCATTTGGAATTTCCGTATTACATGAGTCACCAACTCTGCTTCTGGTACTGCCTGTGGCAAAGCAATTTCACTTGCCCCATTATTGTGGCTGAGAGGATCTCCCCCCTTATGGTGTGAGTTCTCTCATCATATATTACTGATTAATTCAACCAACATTTATTTGGCCCCAGTCATAATACATTCATTCAGATGGTATGAATTTACATGTGGATTAGAACTTATCTGTCCTCAAAGGTCTCATGGTTTAGTAGAGTATAGCACTTCCTTATAGATGACTCTTCAGGAAGGGAGCAAACATGAATAAAGAACCAGGCATCTTCTGTTTCCATAGGTATGCAATAACAAAGCTGTTCTTATATTTGGTTTCCAGAAAACATCTCTAAAGCTACCAGTCATCATTTTGTGCCTTCAACAATGAGTAGCACTGTAGGATAGTGCTTATTACATGGCCTTAGCTTTTCATGCTGGCTGGGAATTTGATAAATGAAAGTCATTCACTGGTAAAATGTACTTCCTTTAGCCAAGTGCACAGTGGTAGCCCTTTCTAGAATCTAAGTCTAAAGATGCCATCCATCAGACTCCATGTCTATGCACTTCTTAACAATAAAGTAACTAAAAGAACTTTACTATTCACAACAAAGGTAAAATGCTATCAAGAATGAAGCTTAGTATCACAGGGGAAAGAGTCAAATATGTTCTTTAAGTTTGTAAGTTTACATAAAAAGGATGTTCTGGGAAGCCAAGCCTGCCACTGTCAGCTCTCAGAATTGCTGTTGGCAGGAGAAATAAGGGTCAGAAATGGAATGCAGCAGGTCAATAGAAGATTGGCTAGAGACACGATAAGTGTTGATCCTGTAGTCCAATGACCTCCCAAGGATTCTAGTGTGGGTCTGGCAGTAGACTAGATAAGTGGATATGGGTCACATTTGCACCCTAAAGTGAGAAAGAGGTTAGTGTTGAAAGAATTTATTTATTTTTAAAGATTTTATTTATTTATTCATGAGAGAGAGAGAGAGAGAGAGAGGCAGAGACACAGGTTGAGGGAGAAGCAGGCTCCATGCAAGGAGCCCAATGTGGAACTTGATCCTGTGACTCCAGGATCATGCCCTGGGCCAAAGGCAAGCGCTTAACCCCTGAGCCTCCCAGGTATCCTGGAAAGAATTTAAACAGCTTATTTTTAGTCCCTTTAAAGAATTTTATTTTCCTAGCTACCAACATAGAACATCCCAGATGATCATGCAATTTAAGGTTATGGTATACCCATGGCAAGTAGAATAGTCCCAAGAATAGCAGGTAAGTCAAATGATAGCAACCAGGTTTGAAGCAACTCCATCCTTTCTTTGTCTGGAGCAGTGATTAAAAATTACAAAAATGCATACAGTAGTACATCCTTAAAGAGAAGATCTGGCCACACCACTTTCCTCTCCCTCCACACCAGATCTGTACTACATGAGTTCCCTGTATTAGTAGGAAACTTTACTCCCCACCTCCTCCTTCAGGCTGGAACTTTGAGGCCATCTTGGGATCCTCCTTGGCTCTCTACAGCCAGCAGGGAGCAAACCTCACTTTTATCTCTTTAAATGTTTCTCAAGCCTCTACCTTCCTTCTCAATCCCATTCCTTCTGCTGTAGTCATAGCCTTTGTGAGACCAAGTAGATTTCTTGCTTCTGTCCTTCCTTCTCTTCAACTCATCTTCCAGAGTCAATGGCATGACTTCTGCTTGCCTAGAGAATAAAGTCCAGACAGTTTGCAACTAATCCTTAGTTCACTTTCCCAGTTTCATCTCCAGTGACCCCTTGCTCTCTCTGCTCCATACCTGTTACTCTGACTGACCTCACCTTCATTCTTTGGACATACCAAACGGTTCACATCATCATCCCTTACCTACCCAATTCACTACCTGTCTGGAAATGACCAAAATCCTCCCAAGCAGTATTTGTCACTTCTGCATCTATACTCTAAAAGCTAAGTTTCCATTAGAGTGTTTATCATATTGGTTGTCAATCTTAATTAGCTTGGTAACACCTAGCATAGTAATTGAAACACGAGTAGATGCTCAAATATAGATTTATTTTTAACTTAAAGTTAGATAGGATTTTTACAATGCCAGAATCTTTAGGTCAAAAAGATTTGGCTTTTTATATTAGTCAGAGTTCTTAGTTTCAAGCAATATAAACAACTCTGACCCATTCAAGCAAGGAAAGAATGAACTGAGGGCTGTTGGGTTACTCACAGGCTTTCTGGGAGGTCCATAGAGGTACTGGGGACCCCAGTAGTAGAGCAGTACATAAAATCTCTGCAGGGAACCATGTAGCTGTTGCTGCTGGGTGCAGGTTCTACCAGAAGTACCCCGTACACCCCAAGCCTGACATTAGACTCAGCTACTCCCTTTGGAAACTGACATAGCTCCTGGTTCTGCTGTTGCTTCAGCCAAAATGGATTCTCTGCAGTCACCACTTGTCCCATGTCATGTTAAGAGTCAAACTCCTATCCAGTTGGTTGAGCTTGGATCACATGTCTGAGCCTAGCTGCAGGGGAGGTTGGGAAAGTGAGCATGTGGCTTCCAGGAGGTAATCAGTTTCTGTCACCCATCAAGAACCATGAGGTAGGGAAATCCCCAGACAGCTCAGGTACAGGAAGGGAGTGGGTTTAAGGAAAGTGCAAGAAGAATGACAAGTTTTTATTTGAACTTTCTTTCTGGACACCAAGGACCTGATTAAGAGCTTCCTTTGATAACGTATTCTGAGTCTTAGCAGGAAAAAAAAAATGGCACACTCAAAATGGGTGATTGGAGAAGAACTGAGTAAAGAACGTATTTACAGAGGATAGGCTGGGTATAGGGAAACCACAAGGGACAATGCAATATTCTAGGACTAATAACAAGAGCTGTTACCACCTAAAGGGGATGAGGCACAGAGGGAGAGAGAGTTATAGTGTTCATATGTGTGTGTCACCTGATAGCCATGCAAAGGAGACACAGCCAGCCCTCAGCAACCCCTCAAGGAGAGAACAAGAGTTGTAAGTGCCCTGACTCTTCCCCTTCCTTTCCTATGAACTCTAGGCAAGGCTCCCATTGGCCCCAGTCAGATGCCAGAGAATGAGGAGCCCATTCGGGCTGTTCATTCTTGTCAGTCTGGTAGAGCAGAAGCGTACTGAGGAAGGATAGAAGTGGATTTGGAAGGGGATCCCTGGGTGGCTCAGCGGTTTAGCGCCTGCCTTCAGCACAGGGCATGATCCTGGAGTCCCATGTCGGGCTTCCTGCATGGAGCCTGCTTCTCCCCCTGCCTGTGTCTCTGCCTCTCTCTCTCTCTGTGTGTGTGTGTCTCTCATGAATAATAAATAAAATCTTAAAAAAGAAAAAAGAAGTGGATTTGGAGGAACAAATAAAGATATGCAGCGCACGAGGTTTAATCAATATATCACCAACATTTTTCTTTTCGTTTTATTCAATATCCCCTTTGGGACGTCACTTTACATTTTTAGTACCCCAGCCTACAAGATAGATGATCTTAAAGTGTCCTTCTCATATTGAATTTAACAAGATTCTCTTTTCCCCTTGCTTGCTGTTTAGAATGCTCTATCATATGGTTCAACAATCTGTACCATTAGGGATCCCTGGGTGGCGCAGCGGTTTGGCGCCTGCCTTTGGCCTAGGGCGCGATCCTGGAGACCCAGGATCGAGTCCCACGTCGGGCTTCCGGTGCATGGAGCCTGCTTCTCCCTCTGCCTGTGTCTCTGTCTCTCTCTCTCTGTGACTATCATAAATAAATAAAAATTTAAAAAAAAATTAAAAAAAAACCAATCTGTACCATTAAAGGGTAGTGAATACCAACTAGTCCATTTTTTTCCTTCACAGAATTGGGGGAAAAGAGTGGGAAGTGGGACCTGTGCACACATCAAGATTCTCCCTTTGTATTATCTTCATATGTATTTTGTCAGCACATGAGATTCCCTGCTGCTTATCTCTGCCTCTGCCCCATTAATATCTAGCCTTACTAAAGAAAGTGGTTATAAGAATTATCATTAAAATGAGCCCCATGGCATCACTAGTTATAAGCCCCCAAAAAGATTCATGCAATGTAACCAACAGTGCTTCCAAAGTATATGGTAACGTATACAAGAACAACTAGTTATTGGCTGTTTACTCTGGAAAAGAATACTGTGGGGAAACTTTCATCGTTGTTTCCAAGTATATTATGGGTTCCTTTGCAGAATATGGAAACCAATGGTTTTTCCTATTCCCAGGAGCCTCAAATAGGGGAATTGTGGTGTATCATGAGATGTGTAGATAAGAGAAGAATATTCATTTTTTTACTCTTAAAAAAACTACATTAATTGAAATCTTATGTTTAAAATGCAAATGATAGAGAAATACACTGAGCAAAAAGCAGAAGTCCCCCTTTCTCTGTGTTCACTTCCTTCTCTACCCCTTGTCCCTTCCTTCCCACTACCAACATTTACAGTATGGCAGATAAAGGAAGACTTTTTCCTAGCCACATTATTATAAGCTATGTTCTAATGGGTCATTGAGAATAGGGTCTTGAATTGGTGTTTACTGTGCTGCTCTTTCAAGGCCCAGGCAGCCTTCTACATCCTGCTGCATCACACTTTATGAGAACGAAAACCATTTGCAAAGCTGCAAACCTGCCTGAGTTGTGTCCATGGCAGCCACTTGCATGGGGTTCCTAAGCTCCTTCCATCTATTATTTATTTTAAGGGCTAATTGTACATTTCAGATTTGCCACTTACCTACCAAAATAGGGATTTTGCTTCATTATTTTCCTTTTTTTAAGATTTTATTTATGAGAGAGAGAGAGAGAGGTGGAGACACAGGCAGAGAGGGAGAAGCAGCCTCCCTGCAAGGAGCCCGATGTGGGACTGGATCCTGGATCCCAGGATCACGCCCTGAGCCAAAGACAGATGCTCAGCCACTGAGCCACCCAGGTATCCCTTCCTTCGGTATTTTCAAAATTTGAGTGAAGGACTCTACTACTAATGAATATTTTACATTTCTAGATATGATTTTTGGCACTTGTAGGTATCAAATGCCAAGAGCATTTGCTTGCCAAGGGCAGAATACGTACACTTTTGTTAAGAAGAGATGTCCATGCAATGAGTATGGTTTATATTTGATATTAAGTATAAGAAATAATTGTTTTCAGCATTACACCAAACACAGTGAGTTTTTAACATGAACTTTAGGGATCTGTTAACAAGGATTTTGAAAGCTGCTCACGTGTCTCATCCTGCAGGAGGCACTCATTCACCTAGCCCATCCTGGCCCTTCTCTTCTTCAGACTTTTAGGTCATGTGGTGTCAGTATTTCTTATTGTATCTCTGATCTACTTATCTGATCCCAAGCACTGTAAATGGGCAGATGCTTAGGCGCTCAGCTCACCTTAGATTCTGAGTTCCTAGAGGACAAGGAATTTATTCCATGGCTAACACAAACAGTGAGTTCCTTGACCCTTCCCATCTGTAGACCTCTTACAAGTACCTTAACCTCTCTTTTATTTTCAGCTATGGCAAAATATCAATATTGGGTGAATAAGAAAGCTCACCATTGGCAGTTGTCTCTCATTACCCATAGCTCATTCACCACCTATGAAATCTATAGATTTTACCTCTGAAAAATATCTCTGAAATCCATCCACTTCTATCTTCATGACCACATCTTTATCCAGCCACCATCATCCTACTCCTAGAACACTACAGTGGCCATCTAGCTGGCTTCCTCTCATCCATTCTCGTGGCTTCCCCCTGTCTATTCTGAAGCCCTTCCATCAGTTCTCCACATGGCAGAAAGAATTGTATTTCCAAAATGCAAATGTGTTCATATCACTCCTTACTTAAAATTCTTCAAAAGCTTCCCATTTACCATTCAAGAGGAACAACATTCTTACCATAGCCTGCCCCCGGGACCTGCCTCTCCAGCCTCATCTCACTTGTACTCTCCTTTATCTCTGACCTCCAGTCCCACTGGCCTCTCTGACTCTCCATGCTCTCCCCTGACTATAGGCCTTTGCACATGCTGAGCCTCTGCCTGGAAAACTTCTCCATTCCCTCACTCACTAAAATCTCTTTGTCATTCAGATCTCAGCGAAATTGACACCTCCTGAGTGAAGATGTCACTGTGACCCCTTGTACGTGGATCACTTTGCCCTGCACCACCTCCTTAGGAATTACCACAGTTGGTAATTAAACAGTTTGCTTAATGTCTGTCTTCTCCACTAGTCTATAAAGTCTGTGAGGCCAGGTACCCAGTCCATTTTTCTTCATCATTGTAAACCCCACACTGTATCTAGCCTATGATAAACTCTTCATACTTATTTATTTTAAAAAGAAGAAAGAAAGGAAAGAAAGAAAGGAGAGAACAGAGGAAGAAACAGTACAAAAGGCTGGAAGGATGGTGAAAGATTGTTGAAAGCCAGTTTAGGCTGCTTGCTTCTAAAATTATTCAGGGACTTCCACATTTACTACCTACAATGGCTTTTTTGCTGTTGCTCTGTTGCTGTGGAATTTGATAAAAGTCATTTTCTTTTAATATTTTCCTTCGGGCTTCATGTTGTGTGTAAAAGTACATTTTTTCATGCAGATCCTCTTACTCAGCCTGCTGCAAACATCCAGCTGGCTGCTGGATATCTCAGCCTGGCCTTCCCACCAGTGAACCTGTGCAGTACTTACTTGTGCAATCCAAAACTAGCGCATGCAATATATAACTCTTCGTACCTCCAAAAGCCCCAGTCCTCTTTCTGAATGTATGACCTAGGCTCCGTGCTCACCTACCACTCAGTCTACTGATTTGTCCTGCATGTGCCTTGCCTGCCTTCCCATGCCACTTTCTAGTTCACTCATCTGTTACCTCTACCTCTCACCCTGGAGGGTTACAGTAGCCTCTCTACTGGCCTTTCAGTTCCAAAATTCAGGCACCTCCAGATCATCTTTCTCTGTATTGCCCCCAGAATTCCCCCTTGAACATGCAAATCTTACCATGCTCCTTCCTATAGAGTTCCTCCATAATGGCTACCACCCTTGGCTTCACAGCAAAACGTGACCTGGCATTCAAAGCCTTTTGTCACTCATCCCTTGTCATCTCTTATCCCCAGGCGTATGCCTCCTGGCTTTTTGTCTGCAGTCACACTGAGCTGCTCAGTATCCCTCTACTGGTGGAGCTGATGGAGACCCTCATACTTTTGCACATGCTGTTCCCCTGGGCTGGATACCCTTCCCCATCTGTCTGGTAAACCTCTCATCATTGAATCCCACTCTTGACAACACTGGTGTGAAGAACCAGCCAAACATGTGATCACAGTCACTTTCTCTATACTTGCTTCATAGATCAGGGCATGAAATCCGCCTAGAGAAGGCTAACATGGACTAGCTGAGAGGTGGTGGTAGCTGAAATTAGGGTGGTAGCTGGGGGATGGAATGAAGAAGGTCTTGAATGTACTCCAAATATAGGGCTTTTAGGACCTGCTGAAAGAGTGGATGTGGGAATGAGAAGATGGGAGGAATCCAGGGGGCTATAGCCTCTAATCAGAGGAGACAGCCTCAATAGCAAAATTATAAGGAAAAAATTCACATGCTGGTCACCCAACTTCAGTAAATTTTAACTCTTGCCTCAACTTCATTTCTACCCCTTTATGACCCTATCCACACCGTCCGTACTCCCTATATCCCACCTTCCCCCCACACACAATGGATTATTTTGAAGTAAACTCTTATCATTTCCTCTGTAAATATTCTAGCTTGTGCCTCAAACAGTATCACTCCTAACAAACATTAACAGGAAAAGAACACAATGAAAAATTGAAAAATTGTGTCTTTGTATCATCAGATATATATTTAGTGACCATATTTTCCTGATTTGTCTTTTTTTCAAAAGCAGGTATTTTATTTCTTTTTTTTTTTTATTATTTATGATAGTCACAGAGAGAGAGAGAGAGAGAGAGGCAGAGACACAGGCAGAGGGAGAAGCAGGCTCCATGCACCGGGAGCCCGATGTGGGATTCGATCCCGGGTCTCCAGGATCGCGCCCTGGGCCAAAGGCAGGCACCAAACCGCTGCGCCACCCAGGGATCCCCATTTTATTTCTTTTGTTGTAGGTATGTTTGGCTCAGGATCTAAGTTAGCCTGGGCATTGAATTCATCTGCTATGTCTCTTTGACTCCGCCCCCCACCCCCACCATCCCCTTGGTTATTTTTTCCAGTTTGGTTGCTGTTGCATTGTTGCTGAAGAAACCTGGATGTTTGCCCAATAGTATCAGGATCCCACTGCATCCCTCTGGTGTTGTCCATCTTGTTCCTGTGTCTCCTTTATTTCCATGAATTGACTTTATCAGATACAAGAGTGGTGTTGTTGTTGCCTTTGGGAGGGGGTGGGCAGTAGGACTGTTTCATAGGTGGTGTTTTATACCTTCATCAGGAAGTTCATAATGTCTAACAATCCCTGTTTTTTGTAACGTTAACAGCCATTGACAATTATTGCTTATACCTTCTTTATTTAGTAGGACTGCAAAAATGGCAATATTCTAATTCTGTTATTTCTTCATTTATTAACTGAAATGTTCTCTAAGAGAAAATTCATCTCTTTACCCATTTGGCTGTCTTGGGACATAGTTCATATAGGAAAGGCAGGATAAGAGCTTTATTCTTTCCCTTATACACAGTTGTCAAAAGAATGAGTTATTTCCCTTGCGCCTTCTAAAGGTAACCAATGAACATTTGTATTGGTTACTATTATTTTATTGTGAATATTGTTAAGAGTTTATGTGTTAAATATGTTTTATGTATCAGTCAAAGTTACTGTATGTTATTGATGTTTAAATGGTTCTGTCTGGGACCCCCAGTGGATTTTCAAGTTGGCTCTGGAATTCATTTGACATGGTCATAATTCTCTTTGATAGCTTCTTTGCTTTCTGGTATGTTCCAGGCTCATCTTGTATATATCCTGCCCCAGATCTGGAAGCAGCCATTTCTCTTCAGTTCCTTTCAGTTGGGAGTGTTGTTTGGAGACCACGAAATCTGGATAGTAAGTGGATAGAAGCCTCTGGTAGAAGGTTATTGCTTCTCAGTTGTTTACCATTTACAGTGGGAAAAGGTAGAAATTTTTTTTTGTTTTTGTTTTTTAATAAAATGATGACTCCGTTCTGATAAATACAATTCAAATTCAAGACAACAGTGGGGTTTTTTGTTTTTTGTTTTAGAGAGAGAGAGAAAGAGCGTGCACAGGCACAAGTAGGGGGAGGGAGAGAGGGGCAGAGGGAGTGAGAGAAAGAGAATCTCACGCAGGGTCAGTGCCCAGCATGAAGCCTGAGGCTGGAGCTCAATCTCATGACCTTCAGATCATGACCTGAGCCAAAATGAAGAACTGGGTGCTTAACCAACTGAGCCACCCAGGTGCACCAACAGTGTTTTTACTTATTTTATGGCTCTTATATCCATGAAGTGTCTCCTTTCTCTCATGCCAAAAATCCCAGTTCTGAATAACCCTGATGTAATTACCATTTTGCTACATCCCACACTACACACAATCAGCCTCAGAGTAATTATACAAAAACTACAGTCAACAATATGATTAATGAAAACAGCCAAGCTTTTTTCTCTTTTCCTCTAGGGTATATCCCACCAGGGACATAAATTATTGTGTTTTAGAGTCACTTAGAATAGACTCTATCTGTGTCACTGTCCCCGCAACTATATACATAGTTAGGTTATTTGTTTTATTTTGCTTTAAATTTTTAATAATTCATTTTAAAATTTTATTTTATAATTGTAAAAATATTAACATGGTTGCAAAGTCAAATCTACTAAGCAAGGCATATTCAAATCTAGCTTCCCTGCACTCTCTTTCCCTGCTCTCCCTCCAAATAACCATTTAAAAAAATATGCAAGGACCTCTTCACCTTGTCCCCACTTCTACCCTCCACCCTTATGGTCTATTCTCAATACAGTTGCCATCATGAGCCTTTGAAACATAAGCCAGTGCTCTGCTCAGGACCATCCAGAGGATCCCATCTCAATCTGAGTGGAAGCCCAGATCCTTACAATGGCCAGCAGGCTTCTACACTGTCACTTGCCTACCCTTCCATCATCCTTCTCTCTGATCGCTCTCCTACCCCTTTCCTCCTCGCTCCACTCCAGCCTCTGCTGCACTCCTACCTTAGGTCTCTTGTAGCAGCTCTTACCTCTGCCTGGTGTGCTCTTCTTTCTAATATCTGCAGTGCACGCTCTCTCACTTCCTTCAAGTAATTGCTCAAATGGCACTTTCTCGGTGAGCCCAACCCTCCACCCCTTAAAAATTGCAACCTGACCCTTCCCCAACTTCAGATTTCCTATAACTCCTCTATCTTTCCTATTGTACTTTTTTAAACCTTTAATCATGTTACATAATCTACTTATGTAGATTACATAATCTACTTATATATCATGCTGATTGCTTGAGTTTTGCACTAGAATATAAATTCTACAAGGATAGGGATCTTTATCTGTTCTGTTTACTGGTATAGCTCAGTGCCTAGAATAGTGCCAGGCATATAATAAGAACTCAGTAAGTGTTTGCTGAGCAAATGAATGAATGAATGAATGAAAAATTTTTGAATTTCAGCAGAAAAGGTTAGCAAATTATGTCCCAATGTTAGGAAAACATTCAGAGCCACACTGACTCTTGGGCCTAAAGGTGAATAAGGATCTCCCTCTGACCAGAACATTGCTTCTTCCTCTGTCATGTCCTGGTGCTTTGGAAGTGAGACATGATGAGACCCATGTGGCACATCAGTAAAACAGATGAAAGACAATAATAACTTCCTATGTATATGATGTTTATTACATTGATATAAGCTCTACGTTTAATCCTTACAGCAATCCAGTAAAGAGGATCTTATGATTTTCCTCATTTTATGAGTGAGGCCAGAGGCAATATAGATTAAGAAATTTGCTTATTGGCCAGGTAGTTTGTAAGTTGTAGAGTTGGGACCCTGGAACCCATGCTCTAAACTAGTGCTGTCCAATAGAACTTTCTGCAATGAAGGACATGTTCCATATTGGAACTATCTAAAATGGTAGCCTCTAACATGAGCATCTGAAATGTGGTTAATGTGACTGAGGAACTGAATTTTTAATTTTATTTACTTTTGATTAATTTAAATTTAAATTTAAATAAGAGCCTGTCATTACTGTCCTAGACAGCTCCGTTCTAAACAGCTATACTATAGTGCATCTTGGTTTTGACTGGCAGAGTGGCAAAGAGTTATTTAACTCTCTGTTGCAACTGTGATTTAAATCCAAAGGTGCAATATCTTTGTGGGATTCCATGGAATGCTGCAACCCATGAGCTCCTTCTCCAAACAGTGTCACCCATGACTTAATGAAACATACGCCTGCCTGATCTTAAAACTCTCTCAAACAAGCAAAAAAATGTCCCAACACATTATGTTCCCTTCTATTGAAGGAAATGGAGGACCAAAGTGTTCTGATCCTAGTTTGTTCTAACTTAAGAGCCTAGGTTTGTAAGAAAAAATAAAGAAAAGCTAATGACAAGTGGTAGTGTGTGACGCTGCAGGGTCAGCTGAAAAGTACAAGTTGTATTTCTATTGATTTTTAAATTATCTATTTTTTTATTTTGGAAAATTGAAAAAATGTGGAAGTTTTTTTAAAAAAAGAAAAGAGCAAACATATATTTTTACCATCTGGAGTTAATTACTAGCATATTTGATTCAGGCTTTTTTATGTATATAGTATTTTTAAAATTATATGAGTGATATAAGAGTTTCTTCCTTTAAAAAGAAGAAAGACCACCTTATTTTTTTAAAGATTTTATTTATTTATTCATGAGAGACACACAGAGAGAGAGAGAGAGAGAGGCAGAGACACTGGCAGAGGGAGAAGCAGGCTCCATGCAGGGAGCCCGATGTGGGACTCGATCAGGGTTTCCAGGATCACGCTCTGGGCCAAAGGCAGGTGCTAAACCACTGAGCCACACGGGCTGCCTGAAAGACCACCTTATTGAGTTAAATCTCCCTTTGCACTTTCTTCCAATTCCAGTCCCCTTGCCTTATTCCCCAGAAGTACACACTAACCTGAACTTGGTATATATTCTTCCAGCTATTTTATATACTCTTACATATACATGCTTATAATTACACACATACACATAAATAATTGTACATATGTACATATATGTGTGAAGATATGCATGTATCTTGCATATATAATGTATATGTATATATGTGTGTGCATATATGTATGTTTGTACATATGTGTATGCATGTATATTGTTGACCTTTGAACAACACAGGCTTGAACTGCAGAAATCCACTTATATACAGTTTTTTAAAAATAAATATAGTACAGTACAGTAAATGTATCTTCTCTTCCTTGTGACTTTCTTAATAACATTTTCTAATAATGATCTTAATAACATTTTCTTTTCTCTAGCTTAGTATACTGTAAGAATACAGTATAACATATATACACATGTAATACATAATACATATAGTATACAAAATAAGTGTTAGTCGATTGTCTATGTTAGTGGTGAGCTTCTGGTCAACAGTAAGTTACTAGTAGTTAAGTTTTGGGGAGTGAAAAGTTATATGTGAATTTTTTACTATTTTTGACATTCCTAACCACCCCCCATTGTTCAAGAGTCAATTGGACATATACATACATTCACATATATATGCAAATTCTTGGAAATATGTAATATTTTTGTATGGGTTTTTTGACACTTATATCAAGAATATCACACTGTATCCTGTCCTGCAACTTTTTTCACTTCTTATGGTTTTTGAGCTTTGTGCATTTTTTCTACATTTAAATCTAGATTAGTGTCCCTATTATATCATATGAACATGCCACACTTTGGTTATCTATTTCCTTACTAATGAATATTTATGTTATGTCCAATTTATTTTAAATAATACTGCGGTGACAATTCTGCTAGTGGATCTCAAGGACAGATAATTTTTAAGATCATAGAATTTACTCATTTTCCCTTTTACTAGGTACTTCTACAATGCCTCCAAATTGTGCCATTTATTATCCCACTAGTAGTATAGAAAAGCATTCCTTTTCCTACACTTACACCAGCATCTGATGCTGACCAACTTAAAAATTTTGCCCAGCTGAAGTAGGTAGCCTATTGTGGGTTCAGTTTGTGTTTCCCTAATTACGTTCTATATCCTTCCCTGTTTATTAGTTGCTCTCATTTCCTTTTCTATGAAATTCTTGGATATATCATGTATGCTTTTTTTCTGTTGTTTATTTTATTGATTTATAGGAATTCTTTATAACTTCTGGTTAATCCTTTGCATACTAGATATGTTACAATTAACATAATTTAATCCTCATTTATGACTTGTCTTTTATCCTTTTTATGGTTTATTCTGTTATACAAAAGTTTTAAGTCTTAGACTCTAATGGTGGCTTCTAGCAGGCTTCTCTCATTCCCGCTGAACTGGTTACAGATCTTACTAAGTCTTCATGTGTTAAGTTCTCGGAAAAGAGACAAAAGCTGATGTGTGATGATGGTTTATGGGCTGATTGCCATTTTGGGGAGAAAAATGTTATCTTGTGCATATTTATAGCATTTTCCTTAAGAAACAGTTTATTTTTATATTGTGAATATTGTGTTGTTGTGGTAATGATTTTTTCTATCTAATAATAAAATGTTGACAGTGGTAAAATCCTTATGATAGATTTTAAAATAAGAATTGATTTTGCCTTTTATTGTATACCCTTTGAAAGTGTTTATTTAGGGCTCTTTTTCCTGGATTTTGTATTTATTCGGATCTTCTATCTATGATTATGCTGCCAATGATTTCAGACTGTTTAAAAATATCTTAAATAATGTCTCTTTATGGACAGAAATCATAGCATGCTGGAACCAGTCCACCAGCTTTGAATCCCAGCTCTCCACTTATTAAGCAAAAACCTTTGGCAAGCCACTTGTGTTCTTTGTTTTTCAGTTTCCTCATCTGTAAGATGGGGTAATAATAGTACTGATCTTGGGACTGGTATAAGGGATAACAC